CGATTCAATCTTTTGAAGATGATGTGTTTGACGCCATATCAGCTTCATCTATAACGTCATGTGTGCGATGTGCCGTGCATACTTTGCAACTATGTATTCTAGATGGGTTTAAAAACGCACCAATCACCAGTTGCATAGTTCAAGCAAGAAAGGTAAAATTTTAAAAGCTTAATATAATAAAGTATCTATTATTTTATGTTCATAATTTAACTATCTTACAAAACCAGGTGGTGAAAAAACTGAGAACTCCCAAGTATGCCACTTGGCTAAAAAGAAAAAACCTCAAATATGCTATAATTGATAACGAAACAAGATGGAACTCGGTCTACAATATGTTATTTAGATTATTAGAGTTGAAAGAATTTTGCCAAACCCACCATAATACAAATACTGAACTCAAATTAAAAAAAAGTGAATGGGATTCCATTAAAAGTATTGTAAGTTTTATTTTTAATAAAATAAGTAACGCTAATATAACAATAAGCAACACTATTTTACTTATAATTCTGGTTTTAGTATTGATAAAACTTATAAAAAAAAGAATGTCTAATCATTATATGAGTATTGTCCATTTATTAAGTAGGTATATTATATATTATACTATATACAATCTTTGAAAATAGAAATAAATGAAAGCAAAATTTAAATGTAGTCTGATATTGTTATTTTAAATATAATTTTCACTTAATTTTTATTCAGACATGTGAATACTAGGAATATTATTTTTTCTACAATTATTATGATACTATATATTGTTAGCATATATTTATAAGTATAATATGTGACAAAAAATGAAAAAAAATCTAGGTATGAATTTATTATGCCATGGTTTTTTTTTTTTTAAATATTATAAGGTACACTTTTTTATCTAAATGTTTGACTTTTACATTTTGTATTTTCTTATATTTATTTAAAAAAAGTCATTAAAAATATTATTATACAGTTAATTATAGTTAAGTTTTTAATTTTGAATATAATATATATTAAAATAATGGTTTTTAGGTTGATGCATTAGAGCCTGTCAAAATAGCTACTTTAGCTCTTCAAAAGCAGGACATAAACCTCGGTGACTTCTATGGGGTATGGCTTAAAGCATCCCACGGTCTCCAGTCGAATGGTTCAATTTTAGCTAAGCAAATTTTGAAATCAATGAAACAGCGTGAAGTGCTTTTATTAAAAAACCCTGTTTTTTTGGCAGGTTTGTTCAATGAAATATAATAACTGTCATAACCATATGCAATACTTTATATCCTACAGTTAAAACATAATTTAAAGACTGATAACTTGGTGCTGCTGAAGACTATAATATAATTTATTCTCAACAAAAAATTAAAAAAGTTTATGTACTTCTATATTTTTTTGTGAGAAAAATATTTTATTGTGTATACACAAGAGTCCTGTAAAAAGTGTACACATTGACCATTGATAATCCAATTTGTACATAGATTAACCAAAAAAAGTATAGAAGTACATAAACTTTTGATAATCGGTGTATTTTGCATTTAATAATATTTGATACTTTTACTTTAGCAATTTTCCTTGATCCACGTTATCAATGCATGTTAAACGAAGCTGACAAAAACACCGGAATTAATCATTTAGTTAAAACTTGGAAGTTTATGATTCAGATACAAGATGATATATGTGAAACTGGTGATGTCAATAACTCAGCTATAGGTTAACACCGATTGATAAACAATTTTAACTAATTGCAGTAAATATAAATAATATTTTTTTTTCAGCCAGTACTAATGTTGATTCTCCTAATAACACTACTGAAACTACTGATGACCAGGATGTATTTGAATTATTTTTATCATCTCAATCATCTGCTTCAAGTCATCATAGTGGCACAGGTATCTTAGATGATATATCTGTTAAGCTGTGTAATTTTAAAGATGTTAATCGCCTACATTACAAAACAAATATATTGACATTTTGGGAGACCCAAAAACACGACAATTTTGAACTTTATAAGCTAGCAACAATTGTTCTTGCAGTACCTGCTACTCAGGTACCTTTATTTATAACACGTTGTATATTCATGTGAAATTTTTTTATTTTATTTTCATTTTTCAGGTTAGTGTTGAACGAAGTTTCAGTGGTATTAAGTTTATTTTATCTGATTTACGTACATCCTTATCAGCTAATTTATTAGATGCTATAATGATTGTACGCTCAAATACAAAGTTTAATAAATAAAGTATACTCAGGAGTTATTATTAAATTATTGCGTAACACTTATATTATACCTTGTTCCTGGTCCCCTTTTTAATTGTATCCTATTCAACAGACATTTATTAAATTATTCAAATACAATATATTCTAGTCTTCGTGAGGAGATTATATAATTATATAATGTGTCAAGTGGTTGAGTCAAGTGGTTCCATACTTTCATAGTTTCATGATTATTTAGTTGTTATAAATTATAAAATAATATCATTTATATAAAATATAAATATCAATAGTTGATATTGAACTTATGAGTTTTTCTTATGTTTTATGTATTACCTATGAACTTATAGTTTAAAACATTGTTCTCTTCATGTTTAGTTAAATGAAGTCTGATCTATGAATAAAAAACTATATTTTATATTTTAATCATTTTGTTCATAGATGTATCCCTAGTTTATTTCTTTTTAGTTCACTTTCATATGTTTTTTCATTTTTGAGACACTAATATTATAACATTTTTAGTGTGTATGAAACGTTTTATAACATTATAGGTAATAAAAAAATTAATTTTAATTTAAATATATATTTATGTATTACCTACATCAGTAGCTTGTAGCTACAACACTATTATGCTGATGATTTACTAAAATTTGGGAAAATATTATGAGTAATGGATAACATTCTGTTTTTAACCCGAAATCGAAAAAAAATAAATACCAATTTTGAAATCGAAATTGAAAAAAATTAATATCGATATTCGAAACCAAAAACGAAATTGAAAAAAATAAATATCGATATTTGAAGCCACAATCGAAATCAAAAAAAACTAATATCGATAATCAAAATTAAAATTAAAATCAAAAAATTTTTTTTCGATTTCAAGCCCTGCAGGTAGGTAATAAAAAGTATACCCAGGCCGCAATTTACATAAACAATTTTTTTTTTTTTTTTTTTTTTTTTTCCTGTTTTAACCGACGACGCCGCTTGATCTGCTTTCGCATTGCTTCCGCGGCGCCGCCATCGTTTATTGACGGTATCAAAAATTAATATATACATGGGAGGCAGACGGGACAGCTCCCCGACTTACCCCGTTCAAGCATTTTAAATTTTGCATTAACAATTAGGACTTCTTCCTGACCTTCTCGGGCCGACCGGAGTCCGCCGCCCTTGAATTCGCGTGCCTGTCATCCGATTGGCGAGCCGACCGGAGTCCACCGCTCTGGATGTTTCGTTCTCCATCAGGGCGGTCGCACGTTCCCCTGTGCCCTTAGCAGGGCCTGTTCCTCGCGTTCATCTTTTTCCTTGGTCGACAGAATCGTCTCGACCATGCGGATGAACTCCATGCGGTTAGTTTCGAACTGTCTGATAATTCTCCTTCGGGCTTGGCCGTCTTCCGGCAAGTCATGTGACAGGGGACCACACAGGATTTCCTCAACGTCGCCCGCGTTCGGAGGTCGCCTCATAATCTCAGTCATTCGAACGCGGTCGCCAAGCCATCTCGGGCAGGTAAAAACCGTGTGCTCAACAGTGTCGTCGGGGTCGACGCAGTATACGCAATAGCTGTCGTCCGCCCGATTAAACCTCTTCAGGTAGCTCCTGAAGCACCCGTGCCCCGAAAGCACCTGCGTCAGCCGGAAAGTCAGGGTTAGCGGTGGCTTTGTTAACCAGCGCACATAAACAATTTACAGCGACCAGATATTACCTACTAAGTATATTTGATTATTTTATTGTGAATAAAATAATTTATATATTTACCTATTTACAATTAAAAAATTGTAATAAGATTGTTTTAAAAATATTTCATGTATATTAATTGGTTTTTGAGGCTTATTATTACAAAGTAGAAACACAGATAATTTAAACTTTTTTTTTAACTATAGGTTGATTCACTCTAATATTAAAGCTATAATAATACAATATTGGTTCAGCTTAGTGTTGTTAAAATATTGTATTTTATTTTCATATTATTTTCGTATTATAGCCTATAGGCAGGTATGGTAATATGTGCTTACTATAAGGTATAAAACCATATTATGTAGTAAATATCTTAAATTGTCAACAATATAACATTTGAACACAGGTAGTTACAATTAATGGCGTATATAAAAATGTATTAATTTTATAAAGGGTCAAAGATATATCACCAATCCTGATGATGTTCCTAGTCACTTGTAATATTTCTAATTGAAAGTAATATATATATAGTTACAGTTTACAGTAAATTATATTCTTAAATAGCAAAATAATAATAGTAATTATTAATAACATTTTTATTAGTATATCGACTGTATAAAATAATGTTATACCTTGCGTTATTAAAAAATGTTGTCATTGAAAATTTACACTTTAACAAATTTTGATTTTTTTTTTTGAGATTCTACTTATTTTTACGAGTTAAGACCAGTACATGATATTATAGTATAGGTATATACTTCGTCTACTATGGTATGATCGTCAAACTATCGAGGCTCTAGAGATAAAAGTTATTAAGTAATTATTATTATAGACATCGGACGAAAATATTATATCTTATTGTATAATAATATATATATAATATTATCTATAGGTGTCATATCATTTTTTATTTCTAATAAGATGCTCAACAATATTTTTTAAAATATAAAATTTTGTTGATATGTATTTTTAAATATATATAACAATACTGAAAAGGCTTTAAAAATTTAAAAAAAATCATGAACACATTATCATAAGCACATGCTATATTTTTTTGTCACTTTGGGTATTTGCCCCCTTTCGCCCTCCTCTAAATGTGGCAATGTGTATGGATATCATTATATCGGTATAGATGTATCGTATAACATTACATGTCCAAGTGTTATAGGCTATCGTCGATCACAACGAGGCGTTGTGGTAAAAATTGGTCGGGTCGTCTGTGGTTCTCATCTCCGGAGTCATTGTCGAACAACAATGCCACTCCTAACGTGGCGACGTTGCCGAAATCCTCCCTAACTATTGATTTGAGGGTCGTTCCGAAATTGTTTGTGTTTGGGGTGTGGTTGTCGAGTCCGTGCCGCATCGACAAAGAATTACACCCTACTCAACCACTCGTGACAAATAGTATGAAAAATAAGTGCCGGCGGGCGCAGGACGGCAATGTTATAAAATAATATATTTTTATTGCTATAAATTATTTATGCCTTATTTGGTAAAATGAATTACTAGTGTATATCAAGTGAACGAAAGCCATTATAATGGTATAATAAATGTACACAAATTCAAAACAAATTAAGTTTTTAAAAATATCCTAGGTATAAGTATCAGTCAAATAAAAAAAGAAAAATCAACATATATTTGTGATATACGTCGTTACTATGTTCTTTATAATATCATAAAATATATATATCACAAAATATTCTGAGCGAAAATGGTCAGTCAGCCTATGATATTACTAAGTATAACAAAGTAGTACAGTATAGTATAGTATAGTACCTACCTATTAGATGATATTATTGGGAATAAAGTAATTTATATAACCTATTTAAGTGGAACCTTGTTTTAAATTTTCAATCCTTAGCTACAAAATATTTGGGTAGGTGATAAAAATTATATCCAGGCCGCAATTTACATGAAAAATTTACAGCGACCCGATATTACTAAGTATATTTTATTATATTATTATTGTGAATAAAATAATTTATATATTTACCTATTTACGTAGAACCTTTATTTGAATTTTCTATCCTTAGCTATAAAAATAGAACATTTTATACATTTTTAACTACAAAATAAATTATTGCATTTTAAATTTGATAAATGTTGTCAAAATTCTAACCTTGAATATAAATGCTTATAAAAAAAAAATGTGATGAATAATATGTATTTTAAATAGTTTCCAACTGCCATTTAGGCAATATACAGGAGCCTTGTATTACACTTTCACGCTTTTTCACCCAACAAATAATATTTTATTGACAATAATTGTAGAAAAAAAAAAACAAAATAATTGTGAACCGACAGTGCCCTTTAAATTTTATCAAAATTCGGTCTTTAAATGCTTATAAAAAAAATTGTGACTATGTATTTTTAATATTTTTCAACTGATATTGTAACAATATATCAGGAGCCTGGTATTAAAATTTTACACTTTTTGGCCCAACAGATAAAACTTAATTGATATTTATAGAAAAAAAAAACTAAAAAAATTGAAAACTGAAAATGTCCGTAAACAGCTCCAAAAGAGTCGAAATATTTTTAAAATTTTATGGTGTATAAAAAATGAGAATATAAACAACCAGTGAAATTTTCATGTATATCTACAGTTATTTGTTTTTGAATTACTACAAAATAACAAAATCGTTACATGAGAAATCGAGTGAATATCCAATCTTGTAAAAAAATGAACTTCAAATCAAACGCTCATAAAAAATTTAATTTGATTTCCTGGTAGACATTTTTTTTTTGTTGCTAAAGGTAGACTTTCTTATGAAGAATCTTGTATTACATTTTCAAATTTTTTATTTAAATATACCGTTTTTTTTTATGAATTCAGAATTATTAACCCAAAATTTTACGTATTTTGTCAATATTTGAACCTGTATGCTAACCTGATGCTTATAAAGAAATTGTGACGATGAATTTTTAATATTTTTTATCTGTCTTTGAAACAATTACAATGTCAAGCAGTTTTACTCAACAAATAAAATTTTATTGGTAGATATTTATAGAATAAAAAACTAAAAAAATTGGAAACTGAAAATATTCGTAAACAGCTCAAAATAATTTGAAAATGGCTTGGTGTATAGAAAGTGCTAATAGGTATAAACATTCAGTAAAAATTTCATATTTCTGTCATTTGTTGTAGAGTTACACCAAAAACCAAAATCGATTTTGTGTAAAAATGTAGCTTTTTTAGATAGGTAATGCCGAAGAAAATCAAAGCTCATTCACTGTCCTAAAAGGTGATGACAGACACACATACAAAAAAAAACATACACATCATTGTAAAATCAATAAGTTGCCATTTTGATTTATTGCTCCGCTCAAAATAAAAAAAAAATGTTATTTTAATAAACTTTTAAGATGTAATGAAAAGAAAATACGCAGTATGGGAAGGTAGTGAATAGTGATTTTAGGTGAAATGAGTATATTGTATTAAACACGATATAATAAGATGATACACGTGATGTACAATAAATACACGGGGTCAGTGGCGTAATTTGGAATTGGTTCTGGGGTGGGATTAGGATATAAGTTTATACTATCGTTCTAGTGGGGCTATGCCCCCCTCCATTGACCATTAAGTCTCATAGATCACAATATTATAATAATTCATTATTATAAATTAATTAAAGGAGGTAAATGGTATAATAATGGGTTTCAAAGACAATAAAGTAAACAATTAAATTAAGCTAAATATATTTTTCATAAATTATAATATTATTTCAAGTTTTCTTTTTGTTTTTTTCGCCAAAATATCCAGTATGTCATCGGGGTTCAACTTAATGTCCCGATGCACTGATAACATCGTAAGTCCATTCAAGCGTTCCTATTAAGTAGGTATTTAAGTTAGTAAAAGTTCATAATTATAATATAATTTACAACAATAATGATTATTAGCTGACCCATTGTGTTTCTGAGATAAGTTTTTACTCTTTTTAAAGTAGAAAAAATACGCTCTGGTGAAGTGGTCGAGACTGGCAATGTACATAATATTTTAAAGAGCAAAAATATGTTGGGATAAATTTGTTCATCACACATAATAAGTGCTTGGAGACCAGATTTTCGAAGCTTTTCACATTTATTTAATTTACGCTTCCATAATTTTAATTCAATTTTACCAAGTTTAGTCGAAAACAAGAATAATCAATATAGTAATAATATATCAACCACTGTACTCATTCCATGATTATTATAAGAACTAATCTAGATTATATAATCAATAATTGATAAATAACTAGCATTAATATTTGTATTAGACAAATTTCAATGTTTCACGTATTTGTGATATATTTCATGCTTTTAACACTAATCTAGAGTCGTAAATTGTAGATTTATCAGTGTTATGTTTTAACTATGAGCTGTACAATTGTCTTGGCATATATTGTAATTTACGAGCTATCGTAGTTTTATATTAGTATTAATATCCATGAATTCTTATTTTAAAATCTTTTAAAACTCAGTGCTTACGGGAATTTAATTATGGAGGATATTCTAAAAAAAAAAAAAATGGTCGGGGGGGATATATCCCCATAACCCCCCCCCCCATAATTACGCCACTGCGCGGGGTTGATAACCTGCTCCAACGGGCAAAGGGACGGGGCTGGTGAGACCGATTTCCTGGATTGTTAGGAGAAATGACAGTTCAATAACTCCCTCTACGACGTTGATGCTCAACAATGGGTTACAGTATGTTTATGTGTACTAGTAAAAGGGATTGTGGGGATGTGTGTGTGTGTGTGTGTTTACTTATTTGGAAATCGTGTAAAATTACGTTATTACATTGCTCGTTTATCCGCGTTCTACTACTGTGCTATAGTGCTATACCTACCTAACGATATTTATATTATCTACATTCTACGTTATTATAATATATTATGTCAAATCACTTACCTCATGCGTAGGTTGTGATGATTGCCTTCTGGGATTGGATTGTATTCCTTCAGTTTGGTGTTCGACAATCGATATCACTTTGACTTTGCCTTAATATGTATGTTACGTATGTACCGCGTGACTTTAATTTGTACCAATGAGCTAAGATAATTTCTTTCTAATTTGAATCTCGTTTGATGATATTTATATTATGATTCGAATACTACTCATATGGCTTCTACAGTACATTCTCTAAGTTTATTTGTGAATCGTAGTGTTATGGTAGTAGTATTTAATTAGGTACCTTAACTGCAGTGTTGGGTAGTAACGTAACGAAAGTAACGGCGTTACTTTGCTTGTAACGCGTTACGTAATTTCATCAAAATTATTTCGAAGTAACGAAAATGTAATGGAAATTACTTTTGAAAAGTAATTTCTATAGAATAACCCGTTATAGTTTCAAGCTTCCTACCTATTGCGAATTGAAAAATATATATTTTAATGTGGGGTATTATTATGTTTACCAATCTAATATGTATATATATTTAATTTTAACTCGCCACAATTCAGTTTTCAATGGTTTTGACATTTGAAATGTCTAATTGCACCGTACAAATCACGAAAACAGTAAATTAAATGTATTATTTAATTTGATTCCTTTAAATAGGTTTCCTAAGAACAGCTTGTGTGGAAGACTAAGTTTTATACGATCCTATTAATAATTATACAGGTTTTATAAAAAATTTGCTTGTTCAATTTACCTATGCAAAAGATAATTCCAAGAAATTAAGAAATCAAGACATTTTTTTTTATAACGAGAAAGTAATGAGCTACTTTTCTATTTGAAAAGTAAAGTAATTTCATTACAATTTTATTTGTTTTATATTTTTTAATTACATTTATCTCTTAGTAACAAGTAAAGTAACTTATTACTTTTTTAAAGTAACTTCCCCAACACTGGTTAACTGTTTAAGTTAAGCCTAGTCTTTTTTTAACAATAATAATTACGCGTTCGTTGAACTCACGCACACTAATGATCAATTACTACACACATACTCACACAGCAATTCCAAATTGTATAACATATTGCTGATTGACCATTTTCGATCAGAATCGTTTTTCTTATACAATGATTTTATATCATTGAATTCAAATTAAACACCATCCATTACAGTGACCCACTTACAACCTACTGTACAACAGAGCGACATCCACTTGCTCATCTTTTTTGGTTTGAATAAATAATAATTTAAACATATACTTATAGGTATATTATAAAGTATTATAGTAAAGACCTTTTTGAGGTCAAAATCATAAGTGTGCGGTTTTTTTACTCAATAATTAAAATAATTGAGTTACTTTAACCTACCTACTAAAAGTATGCGGTTTTGTCCTGTATTTTACCTCAAGTGTAAGGTTTTAAGAGTCAAGGATATAAATATAATATAGTATAGAACTATATTATTTACTATATAGGCAATACGAATTGCTTAGTGAGTATTAGATATTTTATAACTTTATTACCGAACTATTATTTTCAAGTTTTTGATTGTTGTACCTACACTATAAAATAAGACTAATAATTTACCCGAAGAAAATGTATTCATTGCACACTGGGTATAATAAGAAACATTTTGTTCTCATAACTATTTGGCAATTTTGATAAGTACTTGGTAGTTTTGCTAAAAAAATGGGGGTATAATTAAGACAAATATCAACCTTATTTCAACAAACTATATTGTTGCATATGGATAATGACTCATTGTCTGGAGTTGTAAGTGAATAATTATTAAATAAACTAAAATAAAGCTCCAGTCTATCATATTATAAGGAATAATATTTAGGCAATTACCATGACATCAACATTTAGGATATTATGTCTATGTGTGAGTAGTAATTAGTAAATTAACATTAGTGTGTTTTTCCGAGAATCATTGTGAATCACAATACTCGCACTAGCACGCTCGTCATGTCAATACTCATGAAGAATGAAATATATTCTTGTTTGCATAACCATAAAAACTAATAAAGGCGGTAGTAAGTAAAACATAATTCCTGATGTCATTTTTTGATTTAAAATCAGATTTTCCCAAAATAAATATTTATAAGTACCACCTAATGCAGTTATTTCAAGGAATTTTTGAAAAAAAGTCCTTATTTTAATTTACTAAAAAATTTTAAATTTTAAATCGTTTAGCTTTGTCAGCCTAGTATAATATTTTATACTATATTTACTAATACAATAAGCTGGTTAAACCAGCATTCTATTAAATTTTGGGGCTTTTTAACTATCAAATACATTTTTATTGAAATTAAATGTTATAGAAAAAAAAAAAAACTAAAAAAGTTAAAACTCAAAATGTCCGTAAACATCTCAAAACAAGTTAAAATATTTTGAAAATTTTATGGTGTATAGAAAAATGCTAATATAAATATTCTGTGCAAATGTGAAGCATGTAAGGGTATTTTTTTAGAGTTATGTACAGTAAAATAAAATAGATATTTTTTGAAAACTCGTTTTGCATAAAAAGGTGAGTTCTTTATATTAATTTTTTGTTTGTTTTTCCCAACTATTACTGATTACGTTTTACCCCCAAAGTAAAGAAATAGTTCTTTCACTTTCCAACCAGAAAAGATACTGTTGAAGAAAATCGAAGTAGATGACAGACATAAAAAAAAAAAAAATAATAATAATAATAAAAGAACACATTATTCCTCATAAAATCTAAAATAAATTAAGATAATTATTATTTAATTTAATATTTTATACTAAAAAAAAGGATCAAATTATTCACAAAATGGAAAAAAAGTCCACCGAGAGGAACCAAATGTTGTACTAGGACATTTTGTTCCATTATAGGATTTTTTGTTCCGATTTTGATTTTTAATTAAAGGAACAAAAAATTATTTTTATTTACAAAACTTAAATTCTAATGCTTGTATAAAATGAATATGATTTTACACTGATTATTATTAGTTATATTCTTGAAAGGTTAAAAAAGCAAAGAAGAATAAAATATATTTGAATAGAAAAACAAAAAAAAAATAGTTTTATTATCTTACTTGATAATACTTTATAATACTTGATTACATCTATTTTATACATAATCAATCAAGATTAGCATACATTTGTTTTTATATTAAGGAATCAAATACCCACATTTATACGTAAATTATTTAGTTAGAAAAAATTTAATTTATTACATAAATTGTCTATATCTCCTGTTTAGTTAGATTGACAAGTTTAATTTCTACTGTAATTACGTAACATAAATTTTACATTCTTACTTTTGATAAATTAATAATAGTTCATAGTAGTATATCGGTAGAATACAACTGTTAATAGGTCTTATATCTGTTTCTTAAGAAGATGAAGATGATCTTAGATATGAATGATTTTGGTTGATACTTTGATTACTGATTTCAGACCATGAATCATTGGTGTTTCTTTTTCTTTTTGTTATTAATATCTTGAGATTTTAAATTAGCAGTTTGAGACTCTTGAGTAGCAATTATTGATTCTTCATCATCTGATTCATCTGAATCGGGCCTGCCTCTTTTTACTTGAGATGAATATGATACTTGAGATAAACCACCATTTATGGATTGAAAACTAGAAGAATCATTTATAGTTAGTGAGAATATTATTCGTCTTCTCAAATAAATTAAATCAGTTCAATTAAATAAAAAAATATAATTTTACCCCTTTTATTTGTATATAAAATATAATATAAACAATATTTGAAACAATCATTGTTTTACCTATTGTTTGTTTTTGGTCCATCTAATGAATCTCGAATTCCAGTAGACGTAGATGGTTGGTTAATAGAGGCCGAATTCTGTGGATCGATAGAACGGTAGTACTCACTTAGAACTTCAACATCAGAGCTATTGGTACTAGAACTATCTTCTATTATATTTGGTCTTTGAAGTTCTTCATTATTTGAATCCAGTACAATAAGGTTTGGTGGTGGTTGTTCTTGATAAAATGGATCCTACAAATATACATACATTTATATTAACAGTAACTCATAATTTGTAATATTTTGTTTATTTTACTATCGGTTCACTATCACGATGATAATATTGAACATTGTTATCATAGTCAAAAATATCAAATATACTATTAGCAAAATTGTATAGTTCATGGCAAAAATGTACTGCATGCACATTCAGAATATCATTTAAGCTGTTAAGCAAATGTAACTGTCTTATATCACAATTCGGAAGTGATGACATTATCAAATTTGTAGCACGAAAATCAGAGATGCCAGGGAAAGGCATGGACAGACCCTCAACTCTTACTGATTCCCTTATGGCCACAAGATCTCTAAGAATGAATGTACGCAATCTGTACATTTGTGTTGGATGATTTCTGAAAGAATAAAAGTATGCATTGATAAAATCATAAATTATAAAAAAATTTATAACACTAACAAGCTTATTTCTACTTATATTTTTATCTTAATACAATTTCCATCTTACATAAATGTACATGTAATATCACAAACATAAATAGTCTAATTTAATAAATTGCAAAAATAATATGAGGAGCTAAATATATATCGTAACTATTACTGACTATAAGTTACTATATTTTATACGTATTTTCTAAAAGGGTGAAACAAATTTAATTACTAACTAAACTAAAATACTAAACTCAACCTCTAAATATAGCTGAAAAAAATTAAATATATTAAATACTATTGGAGATTTTTCTTAGAAATCGTGGATACATTTAAGTGGTTGGTTTGTTTTAGAAACTATATTGTCAGTTAATAAATAGTAGAATTGGATTGAAATAAAGTGATTTTAGAAACAACTATAGGGGATTTAAATATTATTATTATTATTGTACATTATGTAAATGTGAACTTATATAATATCAGATTATTTCCATTCAACAGAAGAAGAACAAACAATAGCTTACACTTATAAAAAATATATATAATATGCTCTCAATCACACAACAAACGCACACCATTTATATACTTACCTACCTAAAGTATCCAATATTATTTTTCTTTAAATTATAAAAAAATTAAGATTTTCACCATCAACCAGCCTACTAGGTGACTATTCAAATTAGACAGGGGGAAAAACTCATCATCAAATGACCGTACTATGAGTCACCTAACTTAGTCCTTATGAACTATTTTGTATTTACTATACTACTTACACCTACTTATTTTACTTAAAATAACATCTGAAGAATATGGAATAATAATAACAATAATAAGAATATAAATAAAGATAAAAAAATTATTTAATATTAATTAATATTACAATTTTAAATTAAAATAGAAAATTAATTTTTTTTAAATTTTACCGATAGAAATCTGTGGTACCATATCTAAAACGGCCATCTGTATTAGGATGTAATGGTATAGCCCACACATTATCATTATACACTTCCATTCTTATACTTTGACCTGAAAGTTAAGGGATATGTTAAAATAATGTTTTAACTAAGAGGATGCCACAAATGTGTGTTTTGTATCCACCTTACAAATAAATAGTATACCAAAATATCAAATTTTACGTTCACAATAATCCATTTTACTCTATTATTTTTAAATTTAGAGTTAAATTGACTTAATTTAAAATGTAAAGATAAGATGCAGGGTATCTCAGAGGCTTTATTGACAATTGAATTAAAAAGAAAGTTTATTTGAGCATTTAAAAACTATAATTTTTTTGAAGATTTTAAAATTATCATAACTGGCTTTAAAATTAAATATCATTAAAAGCCTCTGATATACCCCAAAGACTAGATAATAATCTTACTTTTAAATTTTATAATATGTCAATTGATTTTAATTTTAGAAAAAAAAATAAATTAAAATAGATTATTGAAAACGTACATTTTGGTATGATGTATATTTGTAGGACGGAAACAACACATAGAAGTGCCGTTCACTTAAAAAAATTATAATAAATACCATTGAGTGCAAAAACAGGTCCATTGTTCTGAGGGGTGTTATGATTTATTTGAAAACGATGGTCGCCCAATTCACCCAAGCCTCTGTTCCTAAATAAGGTTCTCAATCTTGTGTCAGCTTCAGGAGTCATACTTAAAAGACTTTGCACGATCATACTAGACAAAACATAAAATTTAATTAGTAATTTGATTCTTTTTAAATATAGTAGGATACTTCTAGAAATAAATATTTTAATGTACAATACAACATTAAACTATATAAATTAGTATGGGGACTGTTGGCATTTGGGCAATTTAAGATAATGCATAATCATTTCAACAGATATGGAATCATTTGTGAATTACACTAGTATTATCAAAAAGAATTGCAAAAAAAGTCAACAGTAGAATTGTACTTGGGATTTACTAAATATAAGTAATTTATAAGAATAATATTATTTTATAAATTATTTATTAGAAATAAAATAAATATTGTATATTATGTTAAAAATTGACATTTTATAAACATTTTCTTGTACCCTAAAAATACAATATTACTACATATATATGATATATAAAATGTATGACACAATGGGGTTTTTCAGAATTTTCAACAGTATACTCAAAATAAACGCAATCAAGATGTAATTCCAACTGACCAATTAGTTAGAAAAATTAAAAATGAAGTAGCTGCAGATCTTGAAAAGTTGGCTTTAAATGATGTAGGTGAGCCATTCAACAAAATAAACAACTAGGATTGAACTCGGGAATGCATAAACGATGTGGCGGGGAGGTATGTGGGTATGTGAGTGTTATGTGCAAACTCGAAGTGTGTTATCGTCCGCCACCTGGTGTAGGGACTCTTATTCTGAAAGAGTATAGGTATTCTTATAATAAGTATATTGGTATATTTTTAAATGAATGTTAAATAAATAAGATAAATTGTTGATACTTTACATTTTAAATTTAATATGAAATTATAGTAAACATATGTTAAATAGTCTTTACCTAATAATTAATAAGTACTAGTACCTTACCTGTTAATATGTGTCATTCCATTAAATTCCGGTTCATTTACTGGGCTTGAGGTAGCAAAACTAATAAAAAATATTGTAAATTTAAACATCATATTATTATATCAATGTTATAAAATAATGTGTTTCTTACCTCGGCATTATAGGAACAGTATATGTTTCAAAGACGCCTAGATTATCAAATGAATGAAAAATGTATTTGAAAGTTTGCTTACATAATGGACAAGTTGGTTCTGACTAAACAATAAATATACAAAAATATAATTGTTGTGATTAAAACATGTTATAAGTATGAAACTTTTCAACAAGTTCTTAATAAATTGAATCAATTATTATACTATCTGCATTAAGTTCAAAGACAAATATGACATTTTTCTGATGTTCAATTTAAGTTCAGTCTCCTAATTTTTTAAACTATTATTGAACCTTCTTTATAAATTTTAAATTACTGAGAAAACATTCAATGCACATTAAAATGAATGGTAGTAATAATTAATGTGAATGTTATAATAAATAAAATTTACCTAACTTTCATATTTATAAATTATAATGAGAATAAAACAGTATGTATTCCAAAACTGTATAAAATATTCAATTTCTATTCAAGACATTTTGATACAATATGATATATAATATTTTAACAACTAATTACTAAGGCTTAATTAAACTTACTATTGGACATCGTTGTAAGCACATATTTGACCACAATTGTAAGCAATCAAAACAAAATAAATGTACACATGCATTGGAGTAACATTTATTGGTTAAGTCATTCAAACAAATTGAACATTGGGGATCTGGTGTGGAAGGCCGCCCAGTAGGTTCGTTATTAAGAATGTCCATTATTAATGATTGATAATTGATACCAATACTTCACCCTCGATGACAACTCTACTACAATGTAAGGTTAAGATTATAAGATTATTGACAGTTTAAATCATTGTAAAATAAAAAGTAGGTTAATTATTCTGTAAAAAATAACATTAGTTACATAAAGTAAATATGGAGTACCTATACATACATCATTAATACATATAGTATAGGTCATGACTAAATAAACAGGCATGATCACTAGATTATTTCACGCATATTTTATACTTCCCCAAACTTGGAAGAAAAACTAATATCATGGAAAACTCATGAAAAAAAAATTTTATTCCCACTACAATTACATAGGAATTTTACTGTTTCTGCCAAGTCTGGGGAAAATGCGCAGTGATAAGAAAAATAGGTTTTTTGGTGATCATGCCTGTTTGTTTAGTCATGGTATAGATATGCATTAATAATTAAATTATTATAATTAGCAAAGTATTCAGATTGATAATTCCTGGGTTATCGTGACAAACAAAAATTTGATTTTAGGAATAAATTAAATTTTACTTGTTGCACATCTAAATGTGTTGTTGCGACTTGTGCCAATTTTGATAATATCAATTAATAAAGTATAGTTTTATTAAATTGGAAAAATTCCAATAGTTATCTATTGACAATTAATTAATCTACAGATTAGCAAAATGTACTGCCAATTTAAAAGTGATTCTTTTAAAAAACAATGCAAACAATTTTTTTTAATTTACCCCATGTGAGCATGAGTATAATAATTATAGAATAGTACAGAATACAATTAAAGATACCTAATGATTGTGATAAAGCATAAAGTATGATAATTAAGATAACCTGGATGAGCATCGCATTTAAGTTTAAATAGTTATTCTATCCGACAGTCCTTATTATAATATATTTATTTGTAAATTAATTAAGGTAATAAGAAAAAATTAACAATTTATATTAATGATACATACAAGATTTAAATTTAAAAAGGATGATAAGTGGGTAGTACAGTACTTCCCATACAATAGTTGTCGAGTATATCATTGTAATGGATATGTTAAATTTGAATTCAATTATAAATAATTGTATATGTAAACTATATTTACCGGTAGATAGTTACCAGTCTAATTTATATTTAGATGTTAAAGTATTGTATGACCGACGGACGTCATAATAATATGTTGTTTACCTTAACAACTCAAGTCACAGTTACTTTCTCGTAATAAAACTAAATGAAAATATAAGACATAGAAGAGTAGGTATGTCATATTTTCCTGTAGGCAGCATACTGAGCACGTACAATTTCTTAGTAGGTATAATTTTACGGTAGCTAACATATTACACTCGAGTACTTATCTATACTAATAGGTACCTCGTACCTGCACTATTCCGGCTATACATTTTATATTTAAAATTATTCATACATGTACATAATATGCAAGTGAACTCTCGTTATGTCGAAACTCGAGAGATACAGAAAATGTTCGAGATGTCGAGTCGTAATGGTATTTCAAATTTGAGTTTGAGATAACGAAAAATTCAAGACAGCGTCGTTTTGCTCGGTAATGTAAGGAATCTAATACAATACTATATCTATTGATTATTTCTTACACATTCAGGCTAAGTTATAGTCTGTTTCTCTCATTCAGTGTTCAGATTGTCCAACCTATGGGTACTATAGAGAACGCTAAGTCCATTCCTTAGTAGGTCTATTGTGTAGCATCCACAAAACACAGTTAATATTATTGTTAGTTTGATAAAAAAAAGGACACGATAATATATTCTTGTAAATATTTAAAATAAGCAAGATATTATATTATGTGTACCTATAGTTAATTGCGAGATAATCCCATGCATCTTAGGTAATAACTGTTTGTCAGTAGATGAATACATTCAAATTATATTTAAGTTCTAACCGACAGGAGGAAATATCGAAATTTAAATAATTACGATAGTAATTGTTTTGATAATTGTCGTATCTCTCTTATAATAAGTGTGTAATAATATGACAAATTTACCCAAGAGGGTTAATCGCAAAAGGCATAAAATATATTACGAGTTAGCCAATTTCACAATTGGTGGTTTTCCAAGTCACTCTTCCCCTCATAATTGCTGCTATGTACCTGTATATTATGGACGATTGTAAGCTTTGCCAGAATACCGGTATTAGATAAAAAGGTAATGAAAAGATATAATGTTAACTCAGCCAGTTTTATTTTCTTGCGTGTAATGAGGAAACTCCGCCAGTGTTAAGGCCTTCCTTATGTAAGACTAAATAATATATCTCAACAAAGTGAACACAAAAATTCAAAATGAAAAATTGTTGAGAACGATACAATTAGTTATAATAATGGATTTATATTAGACTTAATAGTTAGAATGTCTACGAATTGTGTCACGTAATTTTTGTTCACAAATCAAAATAATTATAACTTATAATAATATATAATGTCATTATAAAATAACATACCTTAAACGTGGAGGACACTGGTGCGTGAATAGAAACAAAATTTCGAAATAAGTTTCATCGACGAATAATTACAAACTAAGGAAAACTGTATTATCATTTTAAATTGATAATATTATTATGAAGAAGCGAATTCAATTGATAACTATTTACCTTCATAATAATTGTTGATAAAATGATTGATAAGACCAAAAATTATTTTACCTCCAATAAAATATGTTTATCAAGTTTTTCAACAGCTCAAAAAGAGTCATGTATCTACAGTTATTCGTTATTGAATTAATGAATTGCAACAAAATAAGATTATCGCTAGGTACATGATAAATCAAGTGAATACGTAGGTAATAATGGAAAAATAACAACTTCAAACGCTCATAAAAATTTAATTTTAATTTCTTATAGACATTTTTTTTTTTTTTTTTTGATAACGGTAGACAAACTTATGAGGATCTTGTATTAAATTATCAAATCTTAGATTTAAAAAGAAAATTTTTATGAATTTCTAGCTTAAAATAATTTGCACATTATCTTCATTTTTACGTGTTTTGTCAATATTTGAACTTTAAATGCTTATAAAAGAAAATTGTGACTATGGATTTTTAATATTTTTCAAATGTCATTGTAACAATAATATTTTATATTAGGAGCCTTATTGTATTAAATTTTCAAATTTTTTTAACCCAATAAATACAATTTTATTGACAATCATAGAAATAAAAACTAAAAAAATTTGAAACTAAAGTTGCCCGTTAACAAGTCAAAACAAATCAAAATATTTTGATAACATTGGTATCTACGGTAATTTGTTTTAGAATTACACCAAAAACCAAAATCGATCTTGTCGAAAACCGATTTTGCGTAAAAATTCCGGGTTAATCTTAATTTTTTTTTTTTTTTTTCTCGGCGCTTTTGCGAATTTTATATTTTGACCTCCCCAATGCTCCAACAATATTCACATTCTCATCGAACAAGATACTGAAGTTGATAATCTAAGCATTATCTCGACTTATTATCGTGTAAACACACACAAAAAAAAAATTTTTAATAAAAACACATCATTGTAAAACCAATACATTCGTCGCTCAGCTCAGAATCTAAAAAAATTAAGTAAAAATAAGAAACAAAATCGATGTCTATAAGAAAGTCAAATTAAATTTTTATGAGCGTTTGAAATTCAAATGTTTACAACATTGGATATTCACTCGATTATTCTCATGTAACGATTTCCTTATTTTGTTGTAATTCGAAAATAAAATAAACTAAATAAATGAAAATTTCACTGAATGTTTATATTTTCATTTTCTATAAGCCATAACATTTTGAATATATTTTCACTCTTTTTGAGTTGTTTACAGACAGTGTCAGTTTTCAGTTTCAAATTGTATTGGTTGGGTAAGCAAGCATAACAATTTAATACAAGACCCCTGATATATTGTTACAATAGCAGGACCTAATTGATAAGTATTGTGGTCTATCGATTAAAATATATTTAACTTAGTTTCCCACCTAACTTGGTTTATAAAAATATGACATATTAATTATAGCTTTCTCCAGGGCCGTAGCAAGGGGGGGGGGCAAGAGGTGCCTACGCCCCGGGCGCAATTCCTGGGAGGGCGCAAAAAATGAAAAATTGCATTTTCTCGGGAGGGCGCAAAAATTATAAATTTTAATTTTATGTTAAAAATTACAGCGGTCAGTGTTGTATATTTTATTTACAAAAACTTCAACGTCCTTGAGGTATATTAATTGAAGCATAGTTGAAAATAATATCTAATAATTATTATATATTTTATATAAAAGTATAAAACCAATAATAGTTAGTAAATACAATCTATCAATGTACAGGAAGACCTTACACTTAAGAAATAATTCTTAATAATTGATTAAAAATAATTACTATTTTATGGAAATGTGGAATTACCAATTATGTTTGCGTTGTCGCCGAGCATTTCATCTATTCTTATTTCTTATACATCTTATAATATATCTATTATTATTTATTATTAATATTGTTATGATTATGTCACAACAATGCGAAATGAAGGAATTGAAAAAACAATTGAATTCGGTAAAGTGATTGCAAATGATCTCGGTATTAAAGCAAATTTTTCTGATAAGCGAAAGAGGAAAGTGAAAAAATTAGATTTCGAGATACCTAATTGAAGATAATGTGCAAGTTTTATCTCAACAGAATGAATTTAAAAAAGATATTTTTGAAGTTTATGATCGAATTCTTACAGAGTTAAGCAATCGATTCGAAAGTATGTCAGAAATTAATGAAAATTTTGGATTTTTGTATGGTAGTAGCTTGACGGACCACTCTATGGACTATATTATACAAAAATGTGCAGCTGACTTATTCTTTGAAGTATGAAACCGATCTAAATTCTTCCGATTTTAAGTCTCAAGCATTTTCTCTTTTACCTGACTTAAGAGCCGCAACACCTTTAGCCCTACTACAATTAATTACAACATATTCTTTGCGTGCTGAATATCCAAATGTCGAAATAGCTTTACGCATATTTTTGACTTTGCCAATAATTGTGGCGACGTGTGAAAGATCATTCAGTAAGTTAAAGCTCATAAAAAACTATTTGAGGTCGACTATGGGACAAGATCGAATATCTGATATGGCTATTTTATCTATTGAACATACAGTGGTAAATACTTTAGATATAAACAAACTTATTGAAGACTTTGCTGGGAAAAAAGCTAGAAAAATTGCAATTTAAATGTTACTTATAAGTAAAAATAATATTATTATTTATTATGTTACATCAATGTTCTTATAATAATTATGTATATTTATATTTTAATAAGTTATTGATTTAAATAAAGTTAACATACGCTTACATAATTATAAGGCAAAATCATTATTTATATTGCGTTTATAAATAATATACAGTGTTTAGTTTTTTTATAAATTAAAATACTTAATGGCGCATTTTGAAGTTTCGCCCCGGGCGCAATATTCGGTTGCTACGGCCCTGGCTTTCTCTGAATATCCTGCATGATTAGGTTATTATTATTTAAACTGTTGGGTTTAGATTTTCATCCATACCTGTAGTATTTATATCAATTACCTTCCTACCTTATAAATTATTTCCAGTTTTAGGTGTTCACATAAGAAATGAGGTCAACATCAAAAGCTTTTAAAACAAAATTACAATACTATTGATTAGTACAATCAGTCTTCTTAAATCTGAAAAATGGGAATGGGCATTTTAATTTTGTAAAAGTACCTATCCATAGACATAACCTTTGTAATAATTAAAAATTACTTAGACCACAATAAATTTACATAAAGATATAGTATTATTATACACTGAGGTGCAATTTAAACAAAAAATTTAAAATGGAACGTACAATTTAAAGTGATCTATTTTACGATTGCATATGAATATATTATGATGGAATTGACGACTTTGAATATGTTATAATATAATATAATGTAACATATAATATACTATGAAATTGGTAAAAATTATATTAATTTTTAAATTTTTAATTCATGTTTGAGGCTTATGTGTCATTATTAAGGCTCGGATTAAAGAAATTACATATTTTTTTCTATTTGTCTAATTTTATGCTACCCTGGATTTAATTAATGTTCTACTGAATCAAATAATACTATTTTTATTTAGCATATTTTTGCGTATTTAATGGTTTTGTACTTTAATTGCATATTTTGGGATTTTAAAAATAAAAATGCTTATTTCGGTACATTTTTTTAAAAAACGATTTAATTTAATGAACTTCACAATTAATAATACAAGAGAAACCCTCAAAATGGCTAATGGAAAAGTAGGAAAAGAAATTTACGGCAAATTTCAGAACGTAATTGAAAAAAATTATGGATTTAAAACTTTGGTACAAATTTCTAAAAGGCATTCCGGTGAAGTTGATACTATGGAACGAATAGAAGAATATTTTTGGTTGGTTGAGGATCTTGCATTCTTCAAATATGCTCCAATAACATCAGTTGATGTAAAACGAAGTTTTAAAATTACAAAAATTTACTTACCGATAACAGACGTGGTTAGAAATTTGATCAAATTAAAGAAAACCATAGTAGCACAGTGTAACGCTAATAATATAATAATTATTACATTATTAATATAATATAATGACTCATTATATTATATTAAGTATAATTTAATACATATAGATATTCACAATTTTGTCCTACTAATTTTGGCACGAGCTTATCTTTGCACTTAGCACTTATCACATGTGTGATGGACGCGTTTAGACTCTAATCGCCGAATGGGATATATATTTATTATGCTAATCAATTAAATTAGACACAAAATGAACTGCCGGCGTGAGTCACTCGTTTAATAAAATGAAACGAGAAGCACAAAATATAGTTGTATAAGAAAATACATAGGTTAAGTCCGAAAAGTTAATCAAGTATAAATAAAAGAAAAAATGATTATTATTATAAAATATATTTAGGCTGAAATGTATGCATATAGTTTTTATTCCCGGTCCACAATTTACACAAATATCTATTTAAATATCAAATGTAATTTACAACGACCCACCGAGAACATTATATTGCATTTGCGTAGGTAATCCACACTTAATATTTTTTTTTTATTTTAAATAAATCTACAATCTATACATTTTTTTGTACATTGAGTAGGTTTGATAAATGACATATAAGAAAAAAGTTAACAGAGATAAAGTTTAACACATACCATATTTATAATTATATTTTACAAAACAATTACGATTAAAAGCGTTTTATGCATTTTATTTAACGGGCTTGCTTATTCTATTTTATGAGAATTCAATATGTTTGGGGATCCGTAGAGTTTTCTTACCTAGCAACATAAGTGCTCTACGAACAAACAATTATATGAGGAAACTGCTATTCAGCATATAGTAGGAAAGTATTGGAAACTATAAATAGCGGTTTGGGTGGGGGGGGTGTGTTAAGGTCAAACATAGGGTCCAAGTGATGATCAGGCAACGCTTTAAATATTTGTGGGTGGGTATTAACAGAAGAAAAATAGGGAATTTTATTGGACGGTATTACAATATTATGAGTGGTAGGTCACCTAAAACAATTTGAGCAACACCAATTTGACACTGCAGCTACACAGTATACAGTCGTCGGCAACCGGCAACCGCACTCACACGCAGTCACACCGATTGTATATTGCCTAAATTTCACCTTAAATAAACACGAACATGTCCAGGACCATGTCGAGAGACTCGAGTCTCGATTAGTACTACTGTACCACTGTACTGGTAGTACTATAATACTTATCTAGAATTACAGCTCTGTCCGTGGCCACAGCAGAATACAGCTAGTCGATCGGTTGTGACTTTGTAAGAGATGCAATGTCCAAGTTTTTCGCTTCGTGAAAGTGCGCACAGATGACGAAACGCTATTTTAGCAGCTCAAAAGTCCTATTCAAAATAAGTTCAAAAAACCTTAAAAAATGTCAAAAGTCTATTAGCATAAGTGCCTTAAGTCAAATATAACAAAATTCATAATCATACGTTCATTTTTAACTTGCTTATAACCAGGGCTGTGAATTTAATGCATTCGCATGTTTTTTTTGCTATAGGTACTGTAAAAATAAAATGGATTCGCCCAAAATTTGTTTTGCCTTATTTATAGTTCAAATACCAAATTTATTTTGCATTTTTTTTTTTGAATATTTCATGGGTTAGGGCATATAAATGCATGTTTTAATGATTTTTTTTGTAATATTTAAATTTCTTTGGTCGAACTGTTCCAAATCGACATTAAAATATTAAATTTATTTGTATAAACTATGACTTGTATAGTTCCATGGAAACTATTCTATTTTTATTCGGGTATTTAACGTGTATTGTTGACTATTATACTATTGAAGTCAAGATTAAACAGTTCTCAACAAACAAAGGGATTTAAAATGATGTATAATATTTAAAAATATTAACTGGTGAAAAAGAGAATGTAGGTTTGGATATATCAGAAAATTTAATCAGTAGTTAAACTAGTTTGCCCCAATAACTTCGTCAAGCGTAGAGCTCTCCTTTTCTTTATATAAAACTTTGTTGGCACCAAACAGGATGTCTTTCAAGTTTGATAATCTAAAGAAATCATTGATTGTACAATGCATATATTGTATCATGCGGTAACCCTTCGGTATAAGCTGATAAAACTTGCCTTTCTGTTATTTTGGATAAATCGTCGGTATTAGAAATTTCATTTGTTGCCATGGATGCTTCTATAATGTCGTAATATAATTGCTCAGCCCTGTCGCTATATTGCTGAATAGACTCCCCCGAAGCTATCTTAAATGTTGATAATTTCGAATGTAAATGCGTTAACGTTTGTTTTTTGTTAACAGTGAGGTCTAAAGTTTCCTTAAGTTCCTTATAAGTGGTAGGTTTCTTATGTCTAAATGGACGTATGGCCTTGCCTATTAATCGAGTTGTTATACCCCTAATTAGATTTTCTTTCTCTGCTGGGTCGATGCTTTGTAACGCATATTCGCATGCATTATGAAATGCAAAACTATCATCAGCATTTTCCCCATTGAACAAAGGGATCAAGTTTAAAGCTTGGTGTGTTGTCATAAACTTTGACATTATTATTTTCTTTACTGCTTGATTTTGATTAAGAGTTAATTTAAATAAGTTTCTCGCGTCTTCGAGAACCGAGTCAGTGATACCTATAGAATTGTTCGTTCTATCTAAAACATGTTCCGACTGAGATATATTGCTGTACCTACTATCATCGGAGTCGAATTCGCCAGAAGGTTCGTATAATTCCCCGCTAGAAGGGACACTAACACTACTTTCTAGATCTATAAGATTTTCAGAACTACTGGTTTCGTTTTGATCAATATCTGACATAGACTTCGATTGATATAAAATAAATAGCCCGAGTAAATAACCAAACAATATAGAATTAATTAATTAATTAATTAATTTCCTCAATTACCTTTCCGATTCCATGCAAATAACAAAAATAAAAGCAAATAAAAAAAATAAAAAAAAAATAATAATAAAAAGAAAAGCGTACACCAAAATTAAAGTATTAATAATATAAAATTATAATAGTACAAAATTAATTACGATCGCTTTTATTATATTGATTTCGATTTATTTTTCCCGTCCCTTAAATCGTACTATTACTAATTTTATATTACTGCACAACCGAATAAATTATCCTGCGTTTATGCGTTGCGATTTATTAAAAAAAAATTGTGGTAACTTACAAGAACGAGGCGGCTATATATGATAACATTGTTGATGGTGATAACCGTTTGTTTTGATTGATACGCGATGACAACAGCTGTGACCTAGTTATTGCGTCGACGGCGGCGGCGGCGGCGTCTTCGATATATCACGAATGCGGCGGCGCTGACGTCCTTGACACTCCGTGCGCGATCGGTGCGGCTGATGCGTCGTGTTGACACGACGGTCTCCGGTTACGTTCGTCGTTGGGCGGCTCTCGGTGGTGGTGACGGGTTCAGCGACGGCGGCGGCGGCGTTCGGCGTTGCCGTTGCTGGCGCTGACGTTTGCGGTTTTTGTAATTTGTTTGCGACGTTCCTACGTCGTATTGTATATAACATGAATACACGTACTTGAAAATCTCGATGCTCTGTAAATTCTTCGTTTTGGTTCTAAGATGCTCTGGAGTCTCTTGATATTTGATGCTCTGACGATTGTCCGTTTCTCCAACTATATGGAAAGGCGGTAGTACACGTAGGTTCTTCAACAATTTATTTTATAATAAAATTGTTGACTCCCGCTGCCACCAAATGATGTGTACCGGCGCGCTGTTATTCCTAGTTTAGAGATTAGGGACGTGTTTTAAAGAAATAATGCAAAGATTCTGTTTAAAAGATTAAAAGATGTGTTTATTGACTTATTAAAATGATTTTCTGTATAAAAATGAAAAGAGGTTCTGACTGGACGCCTGTGTCTACGAGACTGCCGAGGCGGCCGTGACCAAGGGGCCCTTCTGTACAACGGCCAGGGTGGGAATCGCTGGATCAGCAGATTCCTGGTCGAGCGTCCGGCTCCGTAGTCACGTACGCCAGTATACATATCATAATACAAATATTATACTCTAATATAACTATATACTACATACTATGCTTACATATAACATGCCCCCAGGGCCAAACCAGAGCAGTCCCTGCGACTTAATATACTAAAAAAAAACAATATATATATAATTACAGAAAAATTAACATTCAGTTTCTGCTATTTCCGGCTTATAAACATAGGTTTTTTGCTTTTTTGATTTTACAAATAAAAATACGATAACTATTACTACTATTAAAATACAAAGATATTCTACAATAATATGATATTCCATTGGAACTATTAAAATGTTTTCTGTTATTCTATTATTCGATTTTCGTTCTATTGTGGATTCACGTATTGCTTGGCGGAGATTTTTATATAAACCAAAATGACTGAGTGTATGGGGATTAATATCTTCTATATCTAATTCCTTGATGTTACTTATATTAAACAACGGACTTTCCGGTACTAAATCTAATGTATGGTTAATAAATGTGTTTAAGATAGGTGACATTATTGCCATGGTTGTGTGTAGTATACAAGAAGGAGAGATACTAAGTCGGCCAATGCCTTTAATATTAAACTGGAATGATTTTTGAGGGTTTTTACAATTTAGGGTTACAAATTCAGAACGAGTACAATAAATCCAAGAATCCGTTTTAAATAATCGGTTCCAAATGCTTACATCAAGTTTTATGTATTTACTTTTACATGAAATCGGAAGAAATTGCGGATTTTTTAAGATTTCTACCTCGCACATTTTAGAGGATGCCCTTCGTTGAATTGGTTCATTGCCTTTGCAAATAGTGTATGAAGTTAGCCTAGTACAAGAATCACTTTGTTGTTGAGTCAAGGTGAAATAGAATTCGCTATCATCGCTAAAAGCTATATAATCAATCTCTGGCTCAATGATAACAGCATTGTCCTCCTTCATAAAAAAGGGTAATGGAATGGGGTGATACATGTCGTAGCTATTTACAGTGATTATAGGGAAATGCAATGCAAAAACGAGAAGAAAATCTTTTTGTAGTATGGAAACAGAAGATATTGAGAAAAACTCTGGTACATTCTGTATTTTTGGTTCTACTGGAAGTTGGGTTCCTGCAGGTAACGTTAATTGGATTGCTTTAAGTTCCTTAATAAGCTTAATTGGTGGTAATACTGTGGAGTGAATTTTTCCATGAATTGCTGAATTTATAATAGAAATGAGATTTTGCGTTTCGTACGCGTATTGATTAAGGAGTGATTCTAAAATAATAGATTGTTCTAACAAAGTGGTTTTTACCATTAATGTATTCACTGTCATAGAATTTTTGTTTGCCTGAGTTTGTAGAAGTTGAAAATTTTCTTTGAGCTTTTGTTGATGGTCGGATATGTTGCTGATCGATTTTGAAATCTCACTCATAGTTGTTTGGAATAATCTAGTTTGATTTTCTACTAAATCACTTGTCGGTTGTTTCGTCATGGAAAGATCCTTAATCCCTTGAAGAATCGAATTTACATCTAAAAATGATTTTGAGCTGAATAATACTTTTGCCAGCTTGGTGAGTGAAGTACCAAAACTGCGACGAACTCGTCCTTCCGCACTAGTATCCTGCCCTATTGTTGTCCAAATATTTTCCAGATTGGCTTCGATTTCGAAAAAATATGTATTAATGGATTGATCGAATTGTTTGCATGGATGCCAGAATTCGGTTACATTAACTTTATATTGTAGATCAGTGCAAACTTCTGCCGTGGCTTTATATGTTGACCTTAACAACTGAAATTTTGAATTAAAATTGGATAAATCCACAAAAGTTATGAGGTTCCAATCTGTGTTAGTGAGTTTGATATGTTCCCTGAATTCATAGTACATCCCCATGTGGTCCGAGAAGGTATTCAAGCTAATTAGACTTTCTGGAAGTTGTGTAATACTTTCTGCTTGCACATCCAGTGGGACAGTTGCTACCAGCCTGTAAGATTTCGATTATGTTACAAAGTAGTTGCTATAAGATCTAAGAACTTCCCCAATATTAATGAATTAGTGTGCCGTTAAGGAAAAGGTGCATATAAAAAAAAAAAAAAAGATATGTACAAATTAGTAATTCCATATGGCTACTCTTTAAATATTTTCACTAAATTCTTATGGACTTTGGTTTTCCGTTTCCCTCTCTGTATTGTCACATTCTCGTTCTCGTTGATTTCCAGTACGACGTATGGGCCTAACCATTTAGGGCTTAACTTACCCTTTCTAGTTTTGTCCTGAATAAGCACTCTATCGTTAACATGAATCGTTATTGGATTTGACGTTTGATCATAACTAGCCTTGGTTTTGATTTTGTTCTTCATTAAACGTTCTCGAGCTATACGATGAGATTCTCGTAGCCTTTGTTTAAGTTCTTCTTGATAATCGTCGTAGTTATACTGTGGTTCCGGTGGTTTTGTTAGTGATGAGGGTACTTGTAAGGTTCTCCCATAGAGAAGTGCATAAGGTTGTTTGCCAGTGGATTGATGTTCCGATGAGTTGTAAGTAAACATGGCGTATGGTATGTAGGTATCCCAATTCTGTTGGTCTGCATCTACATAGTGTCTGAGGTATTCTCCTAGCGTGCGGTGACTCCTCTCTAGTGCACCATTCGCTTGTGGGTGGTATGGAGATGTATTTATGCGTTTTACTCCTATTAATTTACATGTTTCGGAAAAGATTTTATTAAGGAACTCGGTTCCTTGATCGCTTATTAGATTCTGTGGAATACCGTGAATGCACACAAATGAGGTGACGAAATGATACGCTACCGTATTAGCTTCTTTGTTAGCCATGGGTGTTGCCACCGAAAATTTGGTTAAGTCACACTGAAGGGTGAGGATGTATACATTTCCTTGATAAGATCGAGTGAGTGGACCAACTACGTCGATAAATACTCTTTCAAAGGGTTCGGATGCGGTGGTACTGATTACCATTGGTTGCTTGGTACTACGCGACGAAGTCTTATTCGTTTGACAGGATGAACATTTGCTAATGAATTCAGTGACATCTTGACTTAGCCCCTCCCAATCAAACTGCTTCTGAATTCGCTTGACTGTCTGATTGACTCCACGATGTCCACCAAGTACTGCCGAATGATGTTCACTTATAATTTGTTGTTTATCTAGTGCGGAAACACTTTGTTTAGAGAATATCTGTATATTAATTTCTGAGTTTTGAAATATGTACTTGATCATTCGTAACACCGTAGGCCAATCTAATTGGTCTAATCCACAACCAATTTTGGGCATGGCTAGGTTCTTGATTTCAAATTCTTGACAAAAAAATCGGAGGTTCCGTAAAGAAATGTACATGTCTTCCAAAGTTGGCTTTTGCCAGAATTTATCCTTCGTTACGAGGTTGATGATGTATCGTGCTCCCAATTGAAAGTATGCTACCTCGGTTTTTTTTCGGGCGCTGAAGTTTCAAATTCTGTAGGTGTCCGAATTTCCTTCGAAATTCCAGGGCGATACCCTGATTCAGCTTTAGATCAGCCGACACGCAGTGTAGTAAATGGAATTCTTCTGAAACGGTGAAGAGGTCTCCAGTTACCTCCTGGACTCGTGTGTTCCGATGATTTTGACATTCACTATCCGATATGTACTCGTGGAAGAGTTTCACATTTATAAGTGATTCTGCTGATTGTTGTTGAGACCTGGTTTGCATGACTTTAACTTCCATTATTCGACTTAGTGCGTCAGCGTTGGTATTGGACTTTCCAGTTTTGTAAATTACTTCATATTGGTATTCGGCTAACTTTAATCTCCAACGTAGAAGTCTTGAACCTGGATCTTTTACATTAAACAACCAAGTTAATGGTCTGTGGTCCGTGTAAATTTTGAATTGACGCCCAAGTAAATAAGGTCTGAAGTTCTTTACAGCCCAGACTATGCTTAGCAACTCTTTTTCGGTCGTACTATATGCTTGTTCGGCTTTATTAAGAGTTCTGGATGCGTATGCGATAGGTCGATCCTGTCCCGGTGTACCCTGTGACAAAATACTTCCAATTGCGAATTGGCTGGCATCTGTGGTTAGGATAAATGGTCTTTCGAAATCAGGATATTGTAATACTGGTGCTTCTACGAGTTTCTGCTTGAGCGTTTCAAAAGCTCCTTGACATTCGGTCGACCATTCAAAGGGTACGTCTTTGCTTAAAAGTGCTGTAAGTGGTTTCGCTGTTTGGCTGTATCCTTTAATAAATCTCCTATAATAGCCAGATAACCCCAAGAACTGCTTGATTTCCGTTGTATTTCTGGGAACTGGGTGGTTTTGTACGCATTGGATTTTTCCCGGATCAGGTTTGACTCCTTTATCTGTAATGAGATGTCCTAGATATATCACCTCTCTCTGTAGGAATTGACACTTTGATGGTTGTAAGCGAAGATTAAACTTTCTGAGTCTTGAAAATACATCCCGTAATTTGGATTCATGGTCCTGTAAGTCTGAAGCGTAAACAATTATGTCGTCTAAATATACAAAGGCCTTGGTCCCGTTGATCCCTGTTAGAGCTGTGTTCATTAAGCGTTGAAACGTACTAGGAGCTCCGCTTAACCCGAATGGCATTCTCCGAAACTCATAGTGGCCCTTGTCAGTAGAAAACGCTGTTTTTTGACGATCTTCTGCTTTTATTGATACTTGATGGTATCCACTAACCAAATCCAACGTGGTATAGTATCTCGACCGGCCTAATTGGTCTAAGATTTCGTCTATCCTAGGTATAGGGTATGCATCTCCAACGGTCAGTTCATTAAGGCGTCTGAAATCAACACACACTCGGTATTTTGGGTTTCCGTGAGCATCTGGTTTCTTCGCGACCACGATGAGTGGTGCGTTCCAAGGGGACTCGGAAGGCTGTATAACATTGTTACTTTCTAACTCTTCCATTTGTCTGACAATCTCTTGACGGTGAGCGTATGGCAATCTATACGGTCGAACGTTGACAGGTTTCGCTCCTTCCTTTAGGTGGATTTCGTGCTGTATTGCATCGGTAGAAGGGAATGAATCCCCCTCCAGCTGGAAAATATCTGGGTACTCGCTAATCACCTTCCAGAGACTATTTGATTCTTCCGCATTTAACTCTCGATATAGTATAGCTTCCCGAATGCGACTAATGCGATGCGTGTCTTCCGTAATTTCGTCAGTATTTGTCGCGATCAACGTGGAGGTTTCTCGGAACTCCTCAAATTCGATTTCTTCTATATTTAAAGGTGGTATCGTAATGTGCTCTTCTGAAGTGTTGATGGCAATAGCTAATATTTTTCCATGCTTAACTGTGTTTACCACATTTCCGAGACGGACGTTTTCTCCTTGTAGAACTTGTGAATGGACTACTAAAGCTGTTCCTTCCGGTCTCGTGCTAGCGATTGGTACGATGGTTTCTGAACGCGGCGAAAGTTTGAGAGGATCGGTATTCATTTGAAAGATTTTGGACGAATAATAATCTATTGCGATACGATTTTCGGTAAGAAACGGGTTTCCTAGAATACCTTCATGAGGGATTGGGAAATCGTCATGGACTACCTGGAATTTGGTTGTAAGGGTTTCAGTGCCAAGATTTAAATTGAGGATTACGGAACCTAGCGTGCGTACTAAGTATTCATTGATTCCTTTTAGCTGATAACTTTGAGTTTCATCAACCATGACTTCATTTCTTAAAGTGGATAATTTTATCATATTTAAATCACTACCAGTATCTATAAGTAATTTAACACTATTTGTCAAGCACTGAGGAATTTTTAATGTGATATGCTTATTAATTAATTCTGCCTGGAAATAGAAAGCCCTTGCAGGTTCAGAGTGGCTGTTTTGATATCCCCCACCGGGCGAGCGCCACTTGGACCCGGCGTTTGTTCGTTTCCCGACGAAGTGCTTTGTTGCTCCTGTGCCTTACGTTCATTAACGTACTTTCGTTTGCGACATTCACTTATAGTGTGGTTCGGTTTTTTACAATAGTTGCACGTAACTATTCTGATAGCTTTTGTTTCCGTTTTACTCTTATTTTGCGATTCTCTGTAACGGGCTTGATCGGCTTCTGATGCACGGCATTGTTTTGCCTGATGATTTGTACGTCCACAACGAAAACATGCACCAGGTGGTCTACTGTTAGATTTTTGTACCGAATTTGTCTTGCTTCCGTAGCTACTACTTGGCTTAAAATCAGTCCTATTGTTTTTATAATCATTAATGTTTTTGCGAATTTCTTTTTGATTATTACGTGAAGTTTCTTCTTCCAATGCAATTTGGACACACTCCGATAATTTATTCGGTCTACTAGCTTTTATTAAAATCTTTGTATCATGCGGTAACCCTTCGGTATAAGCTGATAAAACTTGCCTTTCTGTTATTTTGGATAAATCGTCGGTATTAGAAATTTCATTTGTTGCCATGGATGCTTCTATAATGTCGTAATATAATTGCTCAGCCCTGTCGCTATATTGCTGAATAGACTCCCCCGAAGCTATCTTAAATGTTGATAATTTCGAATGTAAATGCGTTAACGTTTGTTTTTTGTTAACAGTGAGGTCTAAAGTTTCCTTAAGTTCCTTATAAGTGGTAGGTTTCTTATGTCTAAATGGACGTATGGCCTTGCCTATTAATCGAGTTGTTATACCCCTAATTAGATTTTCTTTCTCTGCTGGGTCGATGCTTTGTAACGCATATTCGCATGCATTATGAAATGCAAAACTATCATCAGCATTTTCCCCATTGAACAAAGGGATCAAGTTTAAAGCTTGGTGTGTTGTCATAAACTTTGACATTATTATTTTCTTTACTGCTTGATTTTGATTAAGAGTTAATTTAAATAAGTTTCTCGCGTCTTCGAGAACCGAGTCAGTGATACCTATAGAATTGTTCGTTCTATCTAAAACATGTTCCGACTGAGATATATTGCTGTACCTACTATCATCGGAGTCGAATTCGCCAGAAGGTTCGTATAATTCCCCGCTAGAAGGGACACTAACACTACTTTCTAGATCTATAAGATTTTCAGAACTACTGGTTTCGTTTTGATCAATATCTGACATAGACTTCGATTGATATAAAATAAATAGCCCGAGTAAATAACCAAACAATATAGAATTAATTAATTAATTAATTAATTTCCTCAATTACCTTTCCGATTCCATGCAAATAACAAAAATAAAAGCAAATAAAAAAAATAAAAAAAAAATAATAATAAAAAGAAAAGCGTACACCAAAATTAAAGTATTAATAATATAAAATTATAATAGTACAAAATTAATTACGATCGCTTTTATTATATTGATTTCGATTTATTTTTCCCGTCCCTTAAATCGTACTATTACTAATTTTATATTACTGCACAACCGAATAAATTATCCTGCGTTTATGCGTTGCGATTTATTAAAAAAAAATTGTGGTAACTTACAAGAACGAGGCGGCTATATATGATAACATTGTTGATGGTGATAACCGTTTGTTTTGATTGATACGCGATGACAACAGCTGTGACCTAGTTATTGCGTCGACGGCGGCGGCGGCGGCGTCTTCGATATATCACGAATGCGGCGGCGCTGACGTCCTTGACACTCCGTGCGCGATCGGTGCGGCTGATGCGTCGTGTTGACACGACGGTCTCCGGTTACGTTCGTCGTTGGGCGGCTCTCGGTGGTGGTGACGGGTTCAGCGACGGCGGCGGCGGCGTTCGGCGTTGCCGTTGCTGGCGCTGACGTTTGCGGTTTTTGTAATTTGTTTGCGACGTTCCTACGTCGTATTGTATATAACATGAATACACGTACTTGAAAATCTCGATGCTCTGTAAATTCTTCGTTTTGGTTCTAAGATGCTCTGGAGTCTCTTGATATTTGATGCTCTGACGATTGTCCGTTTCTCCAACTATATGGAAAGGCGGTAGTACACGTAGGTTCTTCAACAATTTATTTTATAATAAAATTGTTGACTCCCGCTGCCACCAAATGATGTGTACCGGCGCGCTGTTATTCCTAGTTTAGAGATTAGGGACGTGTTTTAAAGAAATAATGCAAAGATTCTGTTTAAAAGATTAAAAGATGTGTTTATTGACTTATTAAAATGATTTTCTGTATAAAAATGAAAAGAGGTTCTGACTGGACGCCTGTGTCTACGAGACTGCCGAGGCGGCCGTGACCAAGGGGCCCTTCTGTACAACGGCCAGGGTGGGAATCGCTGGATCAGCAGATTCCTGGTCGAGCGTCCGGCTCCGTAGTCACGTACGCCAGTATACATATCATAATACAAATATTATACTCTAATATAACTATATACTACATACTATGCTTACATATAACAATTTGTAGGACGGAAACAACACATAGAAGTGCCGTTCACTTAAAAAAATTATAATAAATACCATTGAGTGCAAAAACAGGTCCATTGTTCTGAGGGGTGTTATGATTTATTTGAAAACGATGGTCGCCCAATTCACCCAAGCCTCTGTTCCTAAATAAGGTTCTCAATCTTGTGTCAGCTTCAGGAGTCATACTTAAAAGACTTTGCACGATCATACTAGACAAAACATAAAATTTAATTAGTAATTTGATTCTTTTTAAATATAGTAGGATACTTCTAGAAATAAATATTTTAATGTACAATACAACATTAAACTATATAAATTAGTATGGGGACTGTTGGCATTTGGGCAATTTAAGATAATGCATAATCATTTCAACAGATATGGAATCATTTGTGAATTACACTAGTATTATCAAAAAGAATTGCAAAAAAAGTCAACAGTAGAATTGTACTTGGGATTTACTAAATATAAGTAATTTATAAGAATAATATTATTTTATAAATTATTTATTAGAAATAAAATAAATATTGTATATTATGTTAAAAATTGACATTTTATAAACATTTTCTTGTACCCTAAAAATACAATATTACTACATATATATGATATATAAAATGTATGACACAATGGGGTTTTTCAGAATTTTCAACAGTATACTCAAAATAAACGCAATCAAGATGTAATTCCAACTGACCAATTAGTTAGAAAAATTAAAAATGAAGTAGCTGCAGATCTTGAAAAGTTGGCTTTAAATGATGTAGGTGAGCCATTCAACAAAATAAACAACTAGGATTGAACTCGGGAATGCATAAACGATGTGGCGGGGAGGTATGTGGGTATGTGAGTGTTATGTGCAAACTCGAAGTGTGTTATCGTCCGCCACCTGGTGTAGGGACTCTTATTCTGAAAGAGTATAGGTATTCTTATAATAAGTATATTGGTATATTTTTAAATGAATGTTAAATAAATAAGATAAATTGTTGATACTTTACATTTTAAATTTAATATGAAATTATAGTAAACATATGTTAAATAGTCTTTACCTAATAATTAATAAGTACTAGTACCTTACCTGTTAATATGTGTCATTCCATTAAATTCCGGTTCATTTACTGGGCTTGAGGTAGCAAAACTAATAAAAAATATTGTAAATTTAAACATCATATTATTATATCAATGTTATAAAATAATGTGTTTCTTACCTCGGCATTATAGGAACAGTATATGTTTCAAAGACGCCTAGATTATCAAATGAATGAAAAATGTATTTGAAAGTTTGCTTACATAATGGACAAGTTGGTTCTGACTAAACAATAAATATACAAAAATATAATTGTTGTGATTAAAACATGTTATAAGTATGAAACTTTTCAACAAGTTCTTAATAAATTGAATCAATTATTATACTATCTGCATTAAGTTCAAAGACAAATATGACATTTTTCTGATGTTCAATTTAAGTTCAGTCTCCTAATTTTTTAAACTATTATTGAACCTTCTTTATAAATTTTAAATTACTGAGAAAACATTCAATGCACATTAAAATGAATGGTAGTAATAATTAATGTGAATGTTATAATAAATAAAATTTACCTAACTTTCATATTTATAAATTATAATGAGAATAAAACAGTATGTATTCCAAAACTGTATAAAATATTCAATTTCTATTCAAGACATTTTGATACAATATGATATATAATATTTTAACAACTAATTACTAAGGCTTAATTAAACTTACTATTGGACATCGTTGTAAGCACATATTTGACCACAATTGTAAGCAATCAAAACAAAATAAATGTACACATGCATTGGAGTAACATTTATTGGTTAAGTCATTCAAACAAATTGAACATTGGGGATCTGGTGTGGAAGGCCGCCCAGTAGGTTCGTTATTAAGAATGTCCATTATTAATGATTGATAATTGATACCAATACTTCACCCTCGATGACAACTCTACTACAATGTAAGGTTAAGATTATAAGATTATTGACAGTTTAAATCATTGTAAAATAAAAAGTAGGTTAATTATTCTGTAAAAAATAACATTAGTTACATAAAGTAAATATGGAGTACCTATACATACATCATTAATACATATAGTATAGGTCATGACTAAATAAACAGGCATGATCACTAGATTATTTCACGCATATTTTATACTTCCCCAAACTTGGAAGAAAAACTAATATCATGGAAAACTCATGAAAAAAAAATTTTATTCCCACTACAATTACATAGGAATTTTACTGTTTCTGCCAAGTCTGGGGAAAATGCGCAGTGATAAGAAAAATAGGTTTTTTGGTGATCATGCCTGTTTGTTTAGTCATGGTATAGATATGCATTAATAATTAAATTATTATAATTAGCAAAGTATTCAGATTGATAATTCCTGGGTTATCGTGACAAACAAAAATTTGATTTTAGGAATAAATTAAATTTTACTTGTTGCACATCTAAATGTGTTGTTGCGACTTGTGCCAATTTTGATAATATCAATTAATAAAGTATAGTTTTATTAAATTGGAAAAATTCCAATAGTTATCTATTGACAATTAATTAATCTACAGATTAGCAAAATGTACTGCCAATTTAAAAGTGATTCTTTTAAAAAACAATGCAAACAATTTTTTTTAATTTACCCCATGTGAGCATGAGTATAATAATTATAGAATAGTACAGAATACAATTAAAGATACCTAATGATTGTGATAAAGCATAAAGTATGATAATTAAGATAACCTGGATGAGCATCGCATTTAAGTTTAAATAGTTATTCTATCCGACAGTCCTTATTATAATATATTTATTTGTAAATTAATTAAGGTAATAAGAAAAAATTAACAATTTATATTAATGATACATACAAGATTTAAATTTAAAAAGGATGATAAGTGGGTAGTACAGTACTTCCCATACAATAGTTGTCGAGTATATCATTGTAATGGATATGTTAAATTTGAATTCAATTATAAATAATTGTATATGTAAACTATATTTACCGGTAGATAGTTACCAGTCTAATTTATATTTAGATGTTAAAGTATTGTATGACCGACGGACGTCATAATAATATGTTGTTTACCTTAACAACTCAAGTCACAGTTACTTTCTCGTAATAAAACTAAATGAAAATATAAGACATAGAAGAGTAGGTATGTCATATTTTCCTGTAGGCAGCATACTGAGCACGTACAATTTCTTAGTAGGTATAATTTTACGGTAGCTAACATATTACACTCGAGTACTTATCTATACTAATAGGTACCTCGTACCTGCACTATTCCGGCTATACATTTTATATTTAAAATTATTCATACATGTACATAATATGCAAGTGAACTCTCGTTATGTCGAAACTCGAGAGATACAGAAAATGTTCGAGATGTCGAGTCGTAATGGTATTTCAAATTTGAGTTTGAGATAACGAAAAATTCAAGACAGCGTCGTTTTGCTCGGTAATGTAAGGAATCTAATACAATACTATATCTATTGATTATTTCTTACACATTCAGGCTAAGTTATAGTCTGTTTCTCTCATTCAGTGTTCAGATTGTCCAACCTATGGGTACTATAGAGAACGCTAAGTCCATTCCTTAGTAGGTCTATTGTGTAGCATCCACAAAACACAGTTAATATTATTGTTAGTTTGATAAAAAAAAGGACACGATAATATATTCTTGTAAATATTTAAAATAAGCAAGATATTATATTATGTGTACCTATAGTTAATTGCGAGATAATCCCATGCATCTTAGGTAATAACTGTTTGTCAGTAGATGAATACATTCAAATTATATTTAAGTTCTAACCGACAGGAGGAAATATCGAAATTTAAATAATTACGATAGTAATTGTTTTGATAATTGTCGTATCTCTCTTATAATAAGTGTGTAATAATATGACAAATTTACCCAAGAGGGTTAATCGCAAAAGGCATAAAATATATTACGAGTTAGCCAATTTCACAATTGGTGGTTTTCCAAGTCACTCTTCCCCTCATAATTGCTGCTATGTACCTGTATATTATGGACGATTGTAAGCTTTGCCAGAATACCGGTATTAGATAAAAAGGTAATGAAAAGATATAATGTTAACTCAGCCAGTTTTATTTTCTTGCGTGTAATGAGGAAACTCCGCCAGTGTTAAGGCCTTCCTTATGTAAGACTAAATAATATATCTCAACAAAGTGAACACAAAAATTCAAAATGAAAAATTGTTGAGAACGATACAATTAGTTATAATAATGGATTTATATTAGACTTAATAGTTAGAATGTCTACGAATTGTGTCACGTAATTTTTGTTCACAAATCAAAATAATTATAACTTATAATAATATATAATGTCATTATAAAATAACATACCTTAAACGTGGAGGACACTGGTGCGTGAATAGAAACAAAATTTCGAAATAAGTTTCATCGACGAATAATTACAAACTAAGGAAAACTGTATTATCATTTTAAATTGATAATATTATTATGAAGAAGCGAATTCAATTGATAACTATTTACCTTCATAATAATTGTTGATAAAATGATTGATAAGACCAAAAATTATTTTACCTCCAATAAAATATGTTTATCAAGTTTTTCAACAGCTCAAAAAGAGTCATGTATCTACAGTTATTCGTTATTGAATTAATGAATTGCAACAAAATAAGATTATCGCTAGGTACATGATAAATCAAGTGAATACGTAGGTAATAATGGAAAAATAACAACTTCAAACGCTCATAAAAATTTAATTTTAATTTCTTATAGACATTTTTTTTTTTTTTTTTTGATAACGGTAGACAAACTTATGAGGATCTTGTATTAAATTATCAAATCTTAGATTTAAAAAGAAAATTTTTATGAATTTCTAGCTTAAAATAATTTGCACATTATCTTCATTTTTACGTGTTTTGTCAATATTTGAACTTTAAATGCTTATAAAAGAAAATTGTGACTATGGATTTTTAATATTTTTCAAATGTCATTGTAACAATAATATTTTATATTAGGAGCCTTATTGTATTAAATTTTCAAATTTTTTTAACCCAATAAATACAATTTTATTGACAATCATAGAAATAAAAACTAAAAAAATTTGAAACTAAAGTTGCCCGTTAACAAGTCAAAACAAATCAAAATATTTTGATAACATTGGTATCTACGGTAATTTGTTTTAGAATTACACCAAAAACCAAAATCGATCTTGTCGAAAACCGATTTTGCGTAAAAATTCCGGGTTAATCTTAATTTTTTTTTTTTTTTTTCTCGGCGCTTTTGCGAATTTTATATTTTGACCTCCCCAATGCTCCAACAATATTCACATTCTCATCGAACAAGATACTGAAGTTGATAATCTAAGCATTATCTCGACTTATTATCGTGTAAACACACACAAAAAAAAAATTTTTAATAAAAACACATCATTGTAAAACCAATACATTCGTCGCTCAGCTCAGAATCTAAAAAAATTAAGTAAAAATAAGAAACAAAATCGATGTCTATAAGAAAGTCAAATTAAATTTTTATGAGCGTTTGAAATTCAAATGTTTACAACATTGGATATTCACTCGATTATTCTCATGTAACGATTTCCTTATTTTGTTGTAATTCGAAAATAAAATAAACTAAATAAATGAAAATTTCACTGAATGTTTATATTTTCATTTTCTATAAGCCATAACATTTTGAATATATTTTCACTCTTTTTGAGTTGTTTACAGACAGTGTCAGTTTTCAGTTTCAAATTGTATTGGTTGGGTAAGCAAGCATAACAATTTAATACAAGACCCCTGATATATTGTTACAATAGCAGGACCTAATTGATAAGTATTGTGGTCTATCGATTAAAATATATTTAACTTAGTTTCCCACCTAACTTGGTTTATAAAAATATGACATATTAATTATAGCTTTCTCCAGGGCCGTAGCAAGGGGGGGGGGCAAGAGGTGCCTACGCCCCGGGCGCAATTCCTGGGAGGGCGCAAAAAATGAAAAATTGCATTTTCTCGGGAGGGCGCAAAAATTATAAATTTTAATTTTATGTTAAAAATTACAGCGGTCAGTGTTGTATATTTTATTTACAAAAACTTCAACGTCCTTGAGGTATATTAATTGAAGCATAGTTGAAAATAATATCTAATAATTATTATATATTTTATATAAAAGTATAAAACCAATAATAGTTAGTAAATACAATCTATCAATGTACAGGAAGACCTTACACTTAAGAAATAATTCTTAATAATTGATTAAAAATAATTACTATTTTATGGAAATGTGGAATTACCAATTATGTTTGCGTTGTCGCCGAGCATTTCATCTATTCTTATTTCTTATACATCTTATAATATATCTATTATTATTTATTATTAATATTGTTATGATTATGTCACAACAATGCGAAATGAAGGAATTGAAAAAACAATTGAATTCGGTAAAGTGATTGCAAATGATCTCGGTATTAAAGCAAATTTTTCTGATAAGCGAAAGAGGAAAGTGAAAAAATTAGATTTCGAGATACCTAATTGAAGATAATGTGCAAGTTTTATCTCAACAGAATGAATTTAAAAAAGATATTTTTGAAGTTTATGATCGAATTCTTACAGAGTTAAGCAATCGATTCGAAAGTATGTCAGAAATTAATGAAAATTTTGGATTTTTGTATGGTAGTAGCTTGACGGACCACTCTATGGACTATATTATACAAAAATGTGCAGCTGACTTATTCTTTGAAGTATGAAACCGATCTAAATTCTTCCGATTTTAAGTCTCAAGCATTTTCTCTTTTACCTGACTTAAGAGCCGCAACACCTTTAGCCCTACTACAATTAATTACAACATATTCTTTGCGTGCTGAATATCCAAATGTCGAAATAGCTTTACGCATATTTTTGACTTTGCCAATAATTGT